CATTATTAAAGTAGGATGTTATATTTTTATTTTTATTGCTATTGGATAAAATATCATTGACGTCCTTGTTAGCATGATGGGACTCCGATATGTGTGCATAGAGTCATCAGATAGGATAAGCACCTTCTCTTGAGTTGTCACCTACACAAAAACCAAATTCCAGAAAGGCTTCCGAGCTATAGTCCCTTCATTGTCAAAGTTAGTCTTGAGGTTCACTTCTTTAGGTTGAAGTTCTTTTTATTCTCTACTTGGAGTTAAGGGTATATTTTTATACATGACATTGAAAAGATAGAATATTCTATAAAAATTTCGCAAGGGAAGTGGTTTATAACAACCCAAGCTACCTCTTGGGCTCCTACGAATATTCTTATAAATATTCTATAGGGGAGGCAGTTTATAACCGATTTGAGCTGCCCCTAAACTTAGGAATATTCTTGTGAATATTCTTGGGGGCAGTTGGGAACCGACACAATTTGCCTCTTGGACTTTCACCCGCAAGCAAGTAGGTGTTGGGTCATTTGGGCCTTTTCCTCCAATGAGCCCTATGTGGCACTTGCGTGATGGACAATAGTTGGCTAACTGTACATTTCCTATCAATTATTGTCATCGATAGGAGTGTAGTGGAAAGTAGATAATCTTAAAATTAAAACATGATAATTTACTAAACAAAATGATAGGATTTTTTATGTACATAATGTTTCACATGTACATAGTATTTTTAATATCTGTACATAATTATAATATCTAACCAAAGAAAAACACAAACATAACATGTCCAAAATTTATATATATAAAATGCCCATAAGTCATCATCCATATCTACACTAGCATGGACTTACATGTGCTCACTTTTTGACCCAATCATTTGGGTGAGATACTAATATCCTTACTTAGCAAAATAGGGTCTATAGTGAGTAATTACTAAGTATAAGCTTTTATTCAGGTGAGCATGCATTATGTTATTTATATAATATTGTAAACTAATTGGCATAAGACATTTTATGGTAAATACCTCATTCTATAACTTTTTTAGCAAGCATAACCTTATAACATAGTAATGCAAAATAAAAAAGTAAAATTTTACATCGAAATAATTCAAAATGCTTATATGCACATATAGGAAACATAGCAAATTCATGAATTTTTACTCCTCATATCATAACACGTATGTTCACTCTCACACTACACATCATAATATATATATATACACTCCCACATTGCATGTCATAATATATGTATACACTCTCACACCGTAGTACATGAACAGTCATTGCATACCCGCAACATCTTTATTAACGAATTGTTCATCATTTTTGTGGGCTTGTATAGATGCTTAGTAGTATGTTTTGCCTTGATTTTATGTTTTTGCTTGAAAACTATAAGCAAAAATAGATTGCAGCGTTGTAGAGCGACGACCCAACTTGGATGTACGTCTTTAAGTCAATCATATCATCACATCAGTTATGTCATCAGGATAGCAAAAGTCGAGTTGGTCGCATAGTCGAATCACATATATCCTGAGCCAAGTGAATAGGTTACACAACTTGTATAGTTTGGTTTGCAAGATAGAGAAGGCAAAGCAGTTGTAGAGAAGATTGTTGAATCTCGTATTTTGATCATATGATCAATTGATGAATTTTATAAACTAATATAATGTCAAGTATTTTCCTTATATAAATGATATAAGATATACTTCGACTAAGGGTATGGACTATTAGAGTATCATTTGTTAAGTAGAAGAACTAGATGTCAAGGATCAAACTTCATATCAGAGAATTAGATGTTGAGCAGAAGGACTGGGCATTTGAGTCGAAGAATTAGTTGATGCGCTAGAGGATTAGTTGACATATTGAAGGATTAGTTGATGAGCTAAAGGATTGGTTATGAATTGAAGTATTGTAAGAGTTGTTCTTTGATGAAAAAGGAGTGGTTCAAGTGTAAGGTTTACTTTTAAGCCTTGAAAAGAAATATGTAAGGGTTATTGATATTCACTGGTTGAAAGTAAGATTGAGATAGTGAAAGCTCGTGGCCTTGAAGTAGGGTCGAGTTGAAGTTGGTTGCATCCTCAAGTCGATCACATTCTCATGTCGGCCTCACCTTCAAGTCGGTTATCCTCAAGTTAATCACAAGTCAACCACACCTTTTGCCTCCATCATGTGACCATCCTTCTCATGTGCCTCTAACTTGTTGCCTAACTTGGTCAATCTGATAATGGCAAAACATCAAAAGTCTAAGGACTAACTACTACTTGGTGTCAAGTAAAAGAAAAGGCATGGCTAACTTGACCAAGTTAGAAATCATCGAGAGCCCTAAAGAATGGTCATATTTCACCCATATCCAAATTTCTCCTCTCAAACAATAGCCCTTTAGTAGCATCCTTGTCTCACCCTTGTACCGATTTCTCCTCCTCCTCCTTCTTCTTTGTTCGATCCATGGCCTATCTCTCCATTGCCTCTCCTCTCAACAATCACTTGACCTAAGCACATAGGAAACCACTCAATTTGGCCAAGTTGGAAGCCACTCGGCATCATGTCCATGAATCCATTTGTCGCGTGCAGCCTCGTCCATCACCCATGACCTCCTTTGTTTAACATCCATGGCCTTGATCATCACTCACAACTTCATCCACAAGTCCTCCAAGCCTCCAAGATGATCATGATGTTCCAGTATGTTGCCTCTCCGAGATGGTTGTTACGCTCCAAGCCTAAAACTTGACCAAGATAGCCATGACATTCCAAAACCATAAGGCCTTTGCGGCTAATACATCTCCTCATGATCAACATGCCCTAACCCGACAAAGAGTGTGATGTGCATGATGTGGCCTAACAGAGCAAAATGAGCATCATGCTTGATGTTGCACCTTGATGTGCCCTAACTAGGCAAAGGTGTGATGTGTTCGACGTAGCTTTTGTGGTCAATGCATCTCCCTGCACTCAATGCATCTTGATTGAGCAAAGTGTGTGATAAACCCAATGCAACCTTCATGGCCAACTCGTCTTCTCGCACTCAATGCAACGAGATGATTGATGCAACCATCATAGCCAACAGGAATTCACCATATCTACTACTACTCAATGCACCCTATCTACCTGGGTTAAAGCATGCAACACACTGGATACAACCTTCACAACCAACATGTGACACCAATGTGGCCTATGTAGCAAATGTATCTCCTAGTATTTGACGTGCCCTCATTGGCATAGCATGCGAAGGGCATGATGCGGTCTTTATAGTCAACTAGTCTCCTCACACTCAATGCACCCTAACGAAGCAAAACAAGCAATGTGCCCTACATGGTTGTCATAGCCAACGAGTCTCCCACTACTCGACACATCCTAAACATGCAAAGTGTGTTACATGATTGATGTGACCTTCATAGAAAATGTGTCCTTTTGTGCTTATGCTCCCAATGCAGCCCTCATAGACAAGACATCTCCATCCTCGTAAGGTAGACTTTAATTGATTTCTGATGCTAGCCACGATTGTCGATTTCCTTAGGCATAGATTGCACTCTCGCATGAATAAGCCTTTTCGAAGTGTGTGTGTGTATGTCATGCCTAGTTAGCCAAACTTGTTATGTCAATCGGAGCTAAGAGGAGAATATTTATTATAATATTCCTTGTACCATAAATATTCTCTTAAAAGGATCCATGATGACGCTAAACCAAGAGGGGTCAATTAGTGCAAGCATATCTAAGAACTTTCTCAGAAAATAATTAAAGATACAAGAGTGAATAAAAAAGTAAGATAATAAAGTATTTAAACAAACATAAACAAATAAATAAAAGATACAATAGTGATTTGGTCTTCTTGACTTACGTTCACTCTCGATTTTTTTTTTTTTGGATTATCGGGTTTCACCATCTTGATCTTGTTTTGTATATACATTCTTTCTTTTTGAGGCTTAGGAGTAAACATAAATAATAATCTTTACAACTCAAGAGAGAAATTCTCACTATACAAACTTGACATTTAAACTCAAGAATACTTGAGAACACTTGTATCGCAAAACCTCATGAAGTATATGGATATATTTATTTTTATATATAATAAATATATGTATATTTATAATATAATTATATGGATATAATTATTTATATTCATTGGAGATATTCTAGCAAATATTTTAATTTAGTTTAAATGAATCTATTTGTTGTGAGTACATGGAAAAACTAATTAGCTTCTATCCTTGGCTGCTATCCTAAAGACAAACCCATCAATGTTTTCTCTCCCCAATTGTTTTTGCCGAAAAAGACAAGTGACCGATATAAGATATAACGTGTAAAAACTATAAACATAAAAATAGAAGATTCTCATAGACAAAAGAAATAGTTTATATTGGTTATCATGATCGATTTTAATCTTTATTTCAAGTTCATGAATCAATCCTCTAAAATAATTTTGTACGAAACCTACCAATTGCGTATGGGATTCCCATTTCAATTCGATTTCCAACGTTGACCCGAAAACCCGACGGCAGTGGAGTCGTGACTTCTTTCCTTAAAGGTCATCCCGTAAAACGCCCACTTTTGTACCTGCTTTATAATTGAATGAATAAGTGGGCCCACAAGAGATTCCCAGTAGTTGTTCCTGTAGGAAAACGTGTCGCGTCGGAGTGACGTGTCACCCAAACCACCCGTAACGGAGTCGAGCGCCGAGTCCCAGTCGTGCAACGCTTCCGTAACGAACCAGTTTATAACGGGATACCGGTCCACGTGTGTGCGGGGACTGCGTCTGTCTGTCCAATTACTACGCAGGAACGGTATTTTAGTCCGTCTTGGTCTCTATCTCTGTCTCAGGCTTCCATAACATGGACTCCACTGTCACTTCCCTACCACCACCGACCCTCTATTTATACTGCTCGTAATCGCTCTCCTCTGCCAACTCGCCTCTCTCGTTTTGGTCGCTTGAAGCTGTCCACAGACATATACACTGCTCGATACCGCTCTACTCTGCCAACTCTCCACCAGTCTTGGTCGCTTGAAGTTGTCTAAGATCTGATGGCCGTGGATGCTGTAGATGCCGCCGCCAACCGCGACGAGACGCCTCCGCCGTCGCCTTCCCACCTGGCGGAGTCGCACGCGAAGAATAATCGATCGAGGAGCCACCACTCCTCCTCCTCTCCCTCTCCCTCCTCTTCCGTAGCCCCTGAGAAGGATGCTGATGACCGCCACCGCCACCTCTTCAGCAAAGATGAAATCTACGCCGCCTTTTGCCTCGTGATGCTTTCCAGTGGCGGCTTCGGTGGGGAAAGAGGTTTCGAACATGACGTTGTGTTGCCGACGTCGGAGCAGCCTCTTCAGTCCTACGATCCAGCGCAGGAGCAGCAGACGCAGAGATCACCTCTGAAGAAGCCACAGACGCTGCCTTTGGGGGAGCAGCAGACGCAGAGGTCGCCTCTGAACGAGCCGCTAACGCTGATGTTGTCTCTGAAGGGGCAGCAGACGCTTGAGAAGCCACCTTTGGAGGAGCAGCAGACGCAGGCGAAGACGTCGCCTTTGAACGTCAATTCCTACATCTGCTCCGAGTGCGGGAAGGGGTTCCCGTCCTTCCAGGCCCTCGGGGGACACAAGACCAGACACCGGAAGAAGGCGTTGGCGACCCTGAAACTAGAAGAGGCCGGTGAGGACGCCGCCTTTTCTGTCTCGACCAACGGCGCCGCCTCAGCCGTGGCTGCAGGAGACGGAAAACCTCACGAGTGCAAAGTGTGCCACAAGTCGTTCTCGACAGGGCAGGCGCTGGGCGGGCACATGAGGCGCCACTACGACGGCGTTGTTGGCGGCGGCCGCTCCACCGCAAGCAGCGGGGTGACGATGGCGGCGGTGTCATCTTCGGCCGCAGCGGGCTCCGGGAACGACCGGTGGTTCGACCTGAACCAGTTGCCATCGCCGCCACAGTTTCCGAAGAGGAAGGAGGCTGAGGAGGAGGTGACCAGCCATCTGGCGTCCGTCCCGAAGAAACCCCGTCTCTCGACGGCCGGCATCGAACCACCACCACCACCACCACCGCCACCGCCACCGACCTTGCATAGCTTCTTCTGATGTGTTAAAGATGTTATTTATATTGACGTTATTAAAAATATTCTTTTCCTCAATCAAATTCTCATTATTAATAAACTGTCATTAATAATTGTGAATAAAATAGTGAAATAGTGGTCATTGTTATGTCACAATCGCTGACTCAAGTGAGTTGACAAGTGTGTGTGTGGACGCACGGTTAAATGTCAAAACCTGGACCTGTCTCCAAAGTCAAAGTGGAAGTCAAAGTCAGATCTAATTGCGTGAAATAATTTATATCCATGTTTCTCTATCAGGAACAGTGGGAATAGCAATCAATGACTGAGAACAGCAATCAGATTCAGAGTTACAAGAAGTTTTTGGCTGTAACAACAGCTTACCCTTATAGGTCATCCAGTTGATTTCAACTACTGCAGAATAAATTGATGCTCGGAAATCTACCAATTGTGGAGACAAGAACAGTATAAACGGATTCAAATGCAACATCTCGACTGAAAAATATATAAACATACAACTTAGTTCAAACAAAATCACAAAATTTAATGTGTACAATATTAAAGTGAAGCACCGAAAGTCGAGTTCTTCGATAAAAATATTTCGTCATTGAATAGTTTTGTTTCGCAGGTTCTTCCGATGAGGAAGTCGGGATCGTATTGATACTGCAAAAGAAACCGGATAATTGATTAAACGAAGGTCCATGTCCTTATCAAAATTAAACAAAAATTATAGAACAGATGAGTGCCACCACATGAATATTCTAGCGCATTTAGTCTGATAAGCACAATTACATGCATAATTTGAGTGACAATTTTCATCTCACAAACTTTTTTTTTTATGCTAGAGGAAATATTATTGATCAATTTCCTTCTGACACATGGGTTATATACGTGATAGTTTGATCAATATAGACACCCCTTTGTTCGCTCATGTGAATGTAAATATAAGGAGAGAGTTTACATGTTATCTCTCCTCTATACCTACATGGACAAGAGACTAAAAGGAGGTAATTTTAAACTATCACCTCAAAGAATATTATAGAGAATATTTTCTCCTACTAATCAAGATGATAATCAAGGTGAGATGTTACTATTCTCACATTTTTACTATTTTCACCTACCTATGTTGGGCTAAGTTAAGTATTAAAGGAATCAAATCAAAGAAATCAATCCAACCTCAATCTTCATGTAGATCACCTTAAAAGCTCATGAATATTACCTCCTAAGCCTTGGATAACTCTAAGGACACCTCAACGGTACTTCGTCCTTTTTGTGTATATGACCCCAAACCATATTGAGCTAATTAGGATGTCATTAACTTTTTCCTCAATATTTTGGTGTTAGGAGGGCCATATTACAAGAATATCAGCCTGCCAACCCACTCAATGAGCGTTCGAGCAAGGAGACTCTACCCACGATCCATAATACTTTTACTCATGGGAGGCAGCGGCTAGCATTTTCAAATCTCAATGCAAACTCTAAGGAGGTACTAACATCTATTCAACAACTCAAACCTCTCGCTTCTAGGGACGACCTCAACCCATATGTTCGTTCCCACCGAGGTCTTCATGAACCTTACTCAATAAATGTAGATGCTGATGCAAATGATACAAATCATCGCTCAACTCTTCTCGTAACTAGTCTAGTAGATGATGCCATCAACCCTGTTATAATCTATAGTACCGTCGACACTTATTGAGGTTCCTCGACTCCACAAGAGTGCCCGAGGCCCATTGAGCCCGAGGCCGATGGTGCTCTGATCCTTAATTGTAGAACTTAGTAAACCACACCATCCCCAGTCTACCTTTGAGTCCAAGGCTTAGTTAGCGAACTCAATGGAGGACTCCCTTCAGGCTCAATTATAGTAAATAGACTAATGTCTAGAAGACAAGCATCAGAAACTTCAGTTGTCCAAGGGTGAGGAGTTAGTTGACCCCATCTCGAGTTGGTCATTGTTTGTGTAGAAGATCTAAGAGGCACCTATTCCCAAATAAATTACGGGGTTCAGCTTGGGAGTGGTATGCCCATCTGAAGCCACTCTCAATTAGCTTATTTGACCAATTAGGAAAGGAGTTCAAGCAATACTTCATTGGCAACATGCATCCTCAGCGTTCAATAGCAACCCTCTTGGGACTTTGGTGAGCGAAGGTAGAGATAGCACTCTCAAATTTTGTCGCTCGATTCATGAATGAAATCCAAGGTATAGTTGATGCCCATCTATCACTCCTCATATAAACTTTTATGATGGGGGGTTAGGCCCTCTCAACTATTTTATCACTAATAGAGAGATCGCCAATGATGATACTCGAGACCCTCCAAAGAGCTAACCAATTTATTGTCATTGAGGCGATGGTCTCAAATAAGTGCGAGGAGCCACATAAAAAGCCAAAACAAGAACGACTTTGACTAGCCCCAACACCAAGTTCACCTTTGCTAGTTATAAGTGTCTTATAAACCAATCACGTGAGTGATGACACATGTGATACGTTGCATAATTTCTTTAGGTTATTATTATTATGATATTTTCTCATTTTATATTGGATGATGAATATATTGTGATGTCCTTGGATCTATGCAACAAGAATTGGATCATGATGAGATCATGATAATGAGACCAAATCGCCTTTAAATACAAATTCTAAATATTCCCGTTACTCGAGAGAGACATCGAGATAACTAGACAGACCGGTGTCTATATACTCATCCATATGATAGAGATAACTGGTCTCATAGCTGCTCGTATAGGGATACTAAGGATATAGTGATGGTGCTCATTGAAGAAATGAGTTCACTGAATGATCTGCTTATGGAATATTGGATGGTTAATGATACCTTATCGTCATACAATAATTTCGTAGTCCTAGTTGTATATCTTGTTCTTAGACTTGAGATACAAATGATGCTTTGTTTGAATACTTTATTCTTTGATACCATAATTATAGGTTTAGAAGTTTCAGATCTACCATAACCGATTATTGGGAATGATAGCTAACCTTACAAATGCAATTGAGTGTTAATAGAGGATCATCCACTCCTAGTATCATGAGAAGAATATCTCATGTATTTTTACTTAGGCAAATCCCTAACCAATGTTTATTAGATCATGATGATCTGATAAGCATAAAATTCAGATTAAGAGAGGAGTTCTCCAAGAGAATCCGATTAAAGTAAGACTCGGATAGATTCTATATGGGCTTGACAATACTATAATCGGTATATAGTCTCTAGGATATTAGATGTATGAGGGGCTATAGATATACGGTAACTAAGGGCAGACAAGTCCAATGAATTAGATCCCCCTATATTGTTTGGGGACTATAACATAGTGGCATAGTACGTCTATAGTCAATGAGTCAAGTGAATTATTATGAAAATAATAATTTACTAAATCAGAAAGAGTTTTGACATATGTAACTCACGGTCAGCTCGATATTGGGTCTAGAGAGTCATACACATATGATGGACAATGCAAAGAATATAAGATTGGATATGAGATATCTAATAAGTCCATATTTTAATGGATCCATTGGGTGAGACCTAATAGAGCTTATAGTAGTTATTGAACAAGGATCCAACATCCATTAAGTTATGGGTAATTAGATGGAGATCCAATACCCCATTAAGACAAGATCCATTAGAGTTAGAAAGAAGGCTCTCTATTAATAAAAGAGGGACTAAAAAGATCATAGGCTAGACCCCTATAGTCACCGGCCTCCTCATCTCCTCCCCCTTCTTCCTCCTACTATCAACCCCCTCTCTATTGCAAGAGGATAACAAGAGGGACCAATCCATCCTTATTTGCTGCTATGTGGTGATGCGTGATCACGAGGAAAGAATACGTTGCACGAGGAGGTGCGTTGTTGCTGCGTCTATCACGTGGATCACCACTAGAGAGGAGTTCGTGAGAGTTCCTTCAGCCACGAACTAGGAACTATGATCTTAGGGGATATATAAGTTCTCTTATGTGAGAACATCTCACATCCCTTATGTCATTTTTGGTTTTCTGAGTTTTATGTTCCCAATCGTCACACAACGATTCAAAAAACCTATTTTGGGAAACTAGTTTTATTTTTTTATTTTTTACTGTGCATGTTATCTAAGGTTTCCCAATAATCCCAATGAAGGAAAAATGATAGACCCGAGGCAATGTGCTTGAGACCTGAGCTCACTCCTCTTAGTATGTCCCATATTGAGGTGTTCGTCCAAATCAAGAAGAGGCTCCTAAGGGACCCCCGTTCGATGAAAACCCTACTAACAAGAAGGGACAAATCCAAGTACTACTAATTCTATTGAGATTATGGTCATGACATTGAAGACTATCATGACTTAAAGGAGCAGATCAAGGAGCTTATCCATTAGGGATAGCTTGAGCGGTTCATCTGAAAGTATCAAGAGTCTTCACTTCGACTCAAGGGGCTAATGGAGAGACAAATTGATGTCATTATGGGTAAGTCAGCCTCGATGGGAGATAGCTGTTCATCTTGCAAGGCCTATGCATGCTTGGACACAATGTCAACCAGTAGTCCTTTTAAGCCCAATCCATTATGGATGACCCTTCTCCTAGTGGGGAATGGATCTCCATGGACCATTTTTGCCAGCCTTGAGCCAATAGAGGTTTCTCATCGTGGAGTAGACTATTTCATATTGGGTGGAGGTCAAACTACTAACATTGGTCACTAAGAAGCAAGTTGAGAGATTCATATAGAAAAGTATTATTATCTGCTTTAGAATCCCAAGGGCATCCTTGGTGCATCCTTCAGTTCATTGGCCATTGCAACCTATTCACCAAGCTACTTCCTTTTATTAGGATCGAGTCGGCAATAAGAAGGGGGAGGGGGGTGAATTAGTGGAATAGATAAAAATGATATCAGTTCGAAAAATCTTTCATTTGCTAAAAACTCGTATCAGAAATATTTAACTTTGAAAGCATATGAAAGCATAGTGTAAGTAAGAATTCAATTTGCAATAAAAGTAAATAGCAAGAAGTAAATGCAAACCAGATTTTTATAGTGGTTCGGTCATCGTAAC